CATCTAGATTAGTAAAGCAATTTGCAAACTTCTAACTTAATGTGGGCAAAATCTGTGCATTTAGGTAAAATAGAGTCACGAAAACACACTATTGATGATGTGACAAAAAAGTTTCGTCCATAGGCAATTCGTTTTCATTGCAAACTCCTCTTTCACTTCTTTATACAGGTCTAAGCGATGTCGAATCTATCAGATTTTCCTGATAACTAAATCCACCTCAGGGTTGCTTCAGAAAGAAGTCGTGTATTATTTCTACTGGTCGACAAAATATCACTAAAGTACATCTGGCGTGTCTTCATCACCTGCTGGATCTAAATGCGGTGACCCCAGATTTCTCCACATAAATCTTCGCATCAACCTCTAGATGTGGATGCGGTTTCCCAACATGGGCGACATAGCGCTCAGAGTCGTCGCTCCGTCATAACTGAGGCTGCTGACACTTACCAGGGGATTTGAACTTGGCACACAGCCCATGCCCTCCCAGGTGATGGAAATGATGTAGTCGGCAACGAAGGGTTTCAGGGCAGAGGCAGTAGATGTTTCAATAACTGTCCCGATGCGAGATACGTGGTTCCACGCACATGTGCTCGACTCCACCTCATTTAGGTCAAGGTCTCTTAAAGAGAAAAAGGCCACTTTTACATTAATGTTGACATCTATTAAAGATGTACTTCGCGATGTGCCTACACAACATCCCGAGGAAGTAAGCATCGAAAAGAAAACCAAGTAACTATTACTGCATCTTACACATAATGCTCATTTAAGGAGGCGTGAGTAACACACCACGTGTGATGGCTATTGCACCAGGTGTGCTGGGAGAACCCTGAGTAATGCGACTCAGTGCTCCAAATCTTGACCGAAATACCGCTGTCTTAAAACAAACAACTACCTCGTCTCGAAGTTTCTATGTTCGATAGCGAAAATGCAAACAGCATGAAATCAGGTTTAGAAACGAAACCAGAATCCCAAGGCGCGTAGATAGGTTGCCACAGTTAATGTACATGTCCAAATTTTCTACGAACGCTGAGCATTTGTGCATTTCTTTAATGAGGATAACTGGCGCCTGGATGTATTGGTCTTCAAGTGGTCCCCATCAGCACCAAGTAAGTTCACGTCCCAAAAGTCGGTCGACTTTGCCATCACTTTAAGTTATTGGCATTCTCCTCACTTGAATCTCAAGCGTTTTTAACAAACGGAAACTGCGATTGTACCCAATATGCGACACTGCTGAGTAAGACAAAAGTCACTGAGGGATTAGTGTTGTGCGTGTTTGGCTAAATTTGGACGTCGCATTGGGCAAGAGTATTGAGGAGCTTAGTAGCCCAAATCATTGCAACGTGCCCTACTTTCGGGTGAATGGGACTGACTTATATGCACTGGGAATATATAACAATGCTACATAGTGTGGCCGCCAAGTCATTTCTCGCTAATCAGCCGTACAAAGCTGCGTTATCTTATTTTAAAATGCACACGTTCAGCAGCTGCATCCAACATCCCAAAATGTCGTCCAGCGAATACAAACAAAGCAATTCAATGTTCAATTAAAAGCGTTCATAATATATGCTGTTCGGCAGGACCACAAAAGACTATGAGTTACACTAAGACTGTGGACCAGGGACGTAGAAGCAACCAATTATGAGATTGGCCTTGAAGGAGATTCTCTGTGAGCATAAAACCTTTCAAAACTGACATGTTTCCACCACTTTCCTAAATTTGAAGGGATTGTAGTGGGCAGACAGCTACCTCGAAATGTAGTGACTTAGTTAGCACTACCCTACAACCCTAAAGTTGACAGCCCGTAAAAACCCGGGAAGAGGAAAACGGAGCAAATGTGGACACGACCGTTTATTAGCCTTGACCCAGCCAGATGCCTTCTTGCGCTCATGAGTGCGCGTGCGTAACAGGCGTCTGTTAACGGGAGCCAATAACAAAGGGCGTGAGCCAGTGGTACAGTCGCGCCATCATACACGCATCACCCACGCGAGGTGCCTGTCTTTCCACCTCAGAAGTACTGACCAAATTCACGTACCTTATGCAACTACTTTTGCATAACCGAAAGGTCAAAGTCAGCTAAGGTGTGAGCAGTGAATTTGCTTAGGTTTAGTCTTTTGTGTAATCGTCAGGTACAGAAAGATGTGGTGAAAGCAAAATTGGGGAGCTGAAGAACTTTGCACAATTTAGCACAGCTTGATTGTGACGAATAGTGGATAAATTGTGTGAAGGTTTACATTTATGTAGGAAGAAACCAGATCAACACTTATGTAGTAGAGGAACCTCACGTAGGACAATTCAAATGTAATGTGTTTAGAACAATCGCCGGTCGACTGCCAGGACCGTTGTTGGACAAGCCTGCTACTATCGAAAAGGATCGTGGATGGCATGCAGTTGACCATTACTGAAATCATCTGTGGACATTGTCAGGGCTTTTGGATGAAACTGCGAACATATGTCTCAAAACGTAGGAGCAGTTTCGAGTTCACGCGTGCACGTGTAAAACGTGCATTAATGGGCGGGATATTTCACTGGAGCCACGTGCGCACAGGACCAGATGGAGAGATTTGGCCGCCTTGGCGACGTGCCAACCGCGCAAACCGGTCACGTCGGGGCAGGTCAAACTGCAATCACGGACGAATGGCTTTGTTTATGTGAACGCTGGTCAGCGCGCTGTGGCTGGTGGAGGGGACGCCCACCGTGAGAACCGAAGAGGTCGTGGCTTGTGTGCGCGTGCTTACGCGCTCCAGCCCCAAAACGTAAGCAAACCCGCTGACGGCCAGGCACACTGTCCTTCAGTCTGAATCTGTGTCAGCCTATCGCCTTCTACAGAATTACTGTTTGGCTCATGCAATGCACAAGTGTAGAAATCACGATACGAAAGTGCTGATAAGCAATATCACGAAATCAAGAAATCTTGACGTGAAACCACTGCGCGGATGCTTGCGGCTTTTGAGGCAGCTCGGCGAAAATACCCAAGAAACGAGTCTGTGGTCGCTTAATTTTAACGGTAGTAACACTTAAACAGTCGTCCATCTATCATCTGTCTATTTCGCGAATCCCGCGTCAGGAGGAAGCTAACGTGAACACATTCGGTTGCACAATAACATTGACCATCCGATTTCAGGCACTGGCTATGAGCATGCATGCGTCTTGTGGGTGAACGCAGTCTACGGCTTTATTCAACAAGCTATCAGACGACATTTGGTTTAAGTGTTTAGTCAAGCGCATATCACTCATATTATGATTAATGGAGAATGTGAGGGCACATTTTAGGAACGTCACTTGGCAGCTAGATAGAGCCTAACCTAGACGCATTTAAATTTCAATCAGACCTGGTCGACAGTTTTTACTTGCGATATTTCTTACAGGAGACTTCAACAGCTGACGTGCAAATCAATCAGGTGAGAGTTGAATCGCATCATTCTTCATGCCGACTAGGGCACAGGCAAAATCGAAGCCCCCTGTCTGCTAACCGTATTGTGTTTGTCCGAGGTTGCTGTGGCCGATGCCACAGCAAACGACAAGTTCTGTTCCCGCCTACTCGGTTTCCGGGATGGTTGTAAAGGACCTGCTACTGGAGCCTCGCAGGTCCCAACCGCCAGCCGACATGAAATTGTACTTCCCCGCGACCCACATTCAGATCAAATTCAGCGCATGCTACAATACACATCGTGACTCTCGATGCATTACTGTGCGCATGATCGGTCCCAATTTCACCTATTTCAGACAGCGTCCATCTCACACGCCCTACATTGAAGGATTACGAACGGAGTACTATATTCAAGTGTCACTCCCAAATTCGTGACTGAATCCAACTGAGGAAATCATTCGTTTAGTAATACGATCTAATAAAATATTGCCGCATAATCTGTTACATTTGACTGGGAAAATTATCAGCACATGGCTATAAGTGGCAAGGTGGTTATTAATCCATCATGTTATGCGTATTAACATTCAATAGAAAGGGTCTCATGAAAAGTTAAACCACATCACTGATTAGTCCAGAGAAAACGCACCACCAAATTGATCTGCTTATTTATAGACTTATTCCTAGAACCGGAGAGGTGTGCTGGAAAGTGGATTATTTTGTGGTCATCGCGAAAGTGCCCCTATTGCCTCTTCGAAATATTTTGAACATAGTTTCACCGAATAACATGGTGCTCTGTAGACCACGATCCTAGCCACTCCAAAATCCCCGTACAAGTAACAGTTTCCCACATTTTGATCTGCCACACCGATCAAAATCGACGTTTGGTCTTTTAGACGTTTACCCAATCGAAAATTGCAAAGCATTTGCAACAAAAATGAACCTTATCCAAAGGCTGACCATTCACAATTTAACGCAACATGTAAGTGCCCTTCAGCTACATTACAAGTTTTTTGACGACCCATTGAATCTGCATACAAGATTGCGATGCTTGTCCAATCAGAAAATACTCGCATCTGAGGATTGTACTAGCATCCTGGCTTGTCAACATGCCCTGGAGTGTTTCAGGGCCTCTGCATCATGCCACCAAATGTCAACGAAAATATTCGCATCATCATTTCCGTTGACTTGTTCCCAATGTGTTGACTTCCATATGTATGGAAAAGTGCTCACGCATGATACACTAGTGAACTTGCTGCCTTCCAGCATTATGTTGAAGTGAGTTGCATAAATCGAAAAAAAAACTGCACAACGAATGCCTAAGTAGAGCAACTTGAATGACCACCTGCAGTCATAGGATGCCATTTGGTTTTGAAATTATGAAATCTTGACAAAGCATCAGTAAACATCAAACTGACTCAAAATCACTGCAGTCGTAAATATTCAGCATTTGGCTGACTTACCTAATAATGATTTTACCATTGGGGCTGCACTGATTCACCGTGGTAAACACGCCAATGAAATCCCCATCAAGTGTGCCGAGTCTATGCTGAGAATAGGCGGTTTGACTGGGATAATTTGGAGGCAATTCAATGCTGTGGTTTCCAATGCCAATGAATCCGTTGGAATACACCTAAGATGCATGAGATTACCAAGGCGACATGTAGTTGAACACACCTTCATTTGTTCAATTCTTCGGCCGTGGATTTGTAGTGGAAACTGGAAAATGTGCAATTGTTCACCCACTGATGCAGGGAATTCCGTTCGCATCGTCAACTCCGAGGTGTCTAGAGCAGTCCCAATCGACAGTCGGCTATCGAACGCATTCGTTGTTGCCGAAACTAGGAGCAGTGCTAGCAGAGCTAGCTGCAGCACCAGACTGAATCGCATCTTCTAGGCGTCCAGTTTCCGATATTCTGTTTGTGAATGTCTCGTCTAAACGCTTCCTGCGGAGGGTTCAAATTTGTTTAAAAGGTGCAGCCTTAGTACGACAGACCCACTGTGATTGGGCAACGGCCAAAGTGAACTGAAATCGGTGGCACGCAAGTGTGTGCATGTGCGTGCGTATGCATGTGTGCGTGTGTGTGATTTCACAAAACGCATACCGGTTTTGACCAAGGCATTTTCAGTGAACGTAGGAATGATGCATGGAGCTGGTCTGCCATACATTTTGGCGATATTCCCTGCAATTTTACCAAAGCCAAATTTTGGAATCACAAAGAAAATTTATTTTTCTTTAGCGTTTGTAATTATGGCTAATTTATGGTTAAAACACACGTGGTTTATTGCAAATGAGGCAAAACACTGACTCCTCTCATTGGTATTTAGGCTACTACCATTCTTAGCTCGTGTTTTCCTATTTGAGGATTCCAGTGCTTTTGAACCTTAAGGGTGTTGGTTACTTTGCAACAGTTAGCAAAGCCGTTTCCCAATCCTAGTGTTCGTTGACACTCACGTTCCCGAACGAAAGTCGATAATGCAATGACGACACAACGATTTCGATACAACCGCCTATTCGGTAAGAAGATCAGTGCGTCTTGTGTGAAAATGTGTGTCAATAGCATGTACATATGTGGCAACTTCGTGAGATGCCAAAGAGACGTCAAATAACTGAACATCTCACGTAAGGGTGCAGGTCGCCAAACGAATGTGATAATTCTCCCCAAGTGAGCACGGTTTACATAACTTTGATTCCACTACCCGAATAAATACACTGAATTCAAACAAGTCAGTAACCGCACTAGCTGCCGAGACTTTCGGCACAGAAGTCAACTTGTGTTCCACACGTTGCGTCTCTTCTATGTATCAGCCATGATGGGTGGTGAGCCGGTGGAAGTGAATAATTACGAATGATTGATCACCGGGGCTGGCTTGACCCGTAAAACAGTATCGGACAAGGCAACAAGGCCAGGGCTGCCAATAAGCATCAGCATAGGCGCGTAGAACATCAATATGCTAAATGTTAAGGTGCAAAACTCTATGTTACCTCGAATGAGAAATAGCTTGCGAATAATGCTGCAACGTGAAATAGAGTAGTCTGGAGATTTAGTCTCGGATGATGCTAAGAGGCAATTCCACCTCATTGGGTGTTGGAAAAGAACTAGCACAGCGATGAGAAGAGTGAAACCATCTGAAATCAAAAAGGGGGTTAGGTCAAGATGTTAAGTCAATACGGTCGGCCACTGCAACTTATAACTAACGAAGACGGTTTAATTTGAGCGTTTGCAATCGCAGTAAATCAAAACTAAGAGATTGGCAGAGACTTGGGAAATCCCTATGCAAATAATCATAATATAAAGGCAGTAGATAAGGTAGGTATGAATGTGAGGTTTCCAGAGGTCCATGGTTTGACACTAACCAGTAGAAGGTTTGAAACAACGCGGGTGTTAAGAGAACTGACATCCTCATTTTTCAGGTGGCGAGATTGAAGAGGAATTTTTCACTGCGAATCAATCACAGGGAATGAAGCCGTCGTTAGTTTTATTTGGTCAACAATTCACATTAATGAAACGAAGATAACAAATGTGTGAAATTCTTCGTTATCCGGAAAAAGTGTCAGAACGTGTGAAGTTGAGAACAGTTAGAAATGGCACTCGCAGAACTGGGTGTGTAGCCTTAACATTTGCATGTTCTGCAACTTAGCAAAATTTGACCCAAGTTGACCTGCATTGGCTAGGTTTCAGCACTACCTTACAACCCTCTAGTTAAAAGTCCGTTACCACCCGAGAAGGAGAAAAGAGGTGACAGAGAACACAATCGTTTATTAGTGTCACACCAGCCAAGTGGCTTTGTGGGCGTATGAGTACGCGTGCGTAAGAGACGAATGATGACAAAGGCTAATAACAAAAGGTGTAAGTCATTTGTCCACTCGGGCCCTCATCCACGCATCACTCACGCGACGTGGCTATCAATCCACTACAGACCTTCCTCAATAAACCATGGTTTTGGTACAAACAACGATGCTCGTCAGTTCCAAAGGTACCAGCTGCATCACAGTTGAATCAACAGCACTTTACCCATTCCGCGCCTCAGCCTGTAGGAGTCATGCTCAATCTGTGTCACATAATGTTTCGTGCATGTTTCCTCTTACGGAGGTCGAAACATGGAGGCTGCTTTGAAACGGAAATGCAAGTGCAATATTGCAGTGCGACACTAGTCAAGCTCTTGACTCCGTCGCGTAAGGGTCACAACTTGAAGGCTAGTGATGCAAACACGAGAGACTCAGTGTTCAGGCTGCGGATATTGATGCGGTTGTGAGGATACCTTGTAGACTCACAAACAAATATTTCAACATTCAATTTCTAGAAACCACGCCTGTTGCAAACCTCGCGCACTGAATTAAGCGCTTGTATGGGAACCTTATTTACAGACAGGGACCCGTTTGATGTGA